TTTATCTGTTATCAATAAAACTTCAGCTTGTTTACAGAAGAAGCCTGACCTCAGATGATCAAGTGACCTGGAAACACTTTTCAGTAGCTCTTTTTAGCTGAAGTGCCAGTCAAAACAGCAGAAGTGAACTGTGCGAAACATAATATTAGAGATGTTAGTCATTTAAAGATTTCTTCAAATTAATAACATTATGAAATTATAAATCAATATTTCCTGAGAAATCAGTATAATTAATAATAAAATAATAATATCATGGCATTTTGTGCACAGTCCACCTTTAAAAAAAAAAAAAAAAGATCTACTTATAAAGTTGCAAAATAGCTGAGCAAAACTAAAGATAATCTGGATTCAAGCTGCTCTTTTTGTTATTGCAACAAAGCCTATATGCGGACATATAGGCTTTCGTTCTTAGTTCTCAAAAGAAAGAGCCCTTTCAGTCGGAAACATACACAAACACTTGACATAAAACACTAATTCTGAATTAATTAAAATTTGGAAAACTCTTTTTTTTGAGAGAGAGAATAGGCATGAAGAAGACAGCATCGGGAGGCCAGTAAGCATTCTGACCTGCTCTGGTCTCCTGCTGGCTTCAATGGGACTTGACTCATCTCTGCGAGAGAGGAATGTCATTATACACCCTTCATACCACCCCCCCAACACCCACCCCTGCATGTCAGCCGGTGTCACTGCTTTAATGATACCACAGGAAAATCCACCAGCTACAATTCAGCGTGAAAAGATAATGGGGGCCACTTAAAAGGAAGGTGAAACAGATACCCCGGTCAGAAGGGTATTACTTTTCAAATGTATTGGTTCAATATCAGTAGCAAATCCAATAGCAATAATATTGTGCCACAGCAATCTCATATTCAATATTTGAAGAAAAGGTTCTATAACTTAAAAGGCTTCTGTCGGTGCTTCTTATATAGAACCTATAAAGGGATTTATTGATGGTTACTGGAAAAAAGTGAGTAAATACAATGAAGGAGAATGATTTAATCATCAGAAACTCAAAATTATATGTTATCTGAACTAAATCAATTATTTAAGTTGATTTGACAAAAGAAAAAAATGTTGTGATTACTACACTGTAAAAATATTGTTGGTTTAACTTAAAAAAGTAAGTAACGTGGGTTGCCTTAAAATTTTAAGTTGATTGAACTGGAAAAAGTGAGTTAATACAATGAAGGAGATTAATTTAATCATCAGAAACTCAAAATAATAAGTTATCTCAACTAAATAATTATTATAAAGTTGACTTGACAAAAGAAAATATGTTGTGATAACAAATCTTGAAAATATTTAAAATAGCCACCGCATTTTGATATTTGGTTTCTAATATATTAGGGGATTATTTTTTGGAATTAATTTTAATTAATTATTATATATTTTTTCTTATGTTGATTAATTTTATTAATTAAACATACTTTATCAGTTATTAAGTAAATTAACTTCATGCGTACACTGTAACTCATAACTCTAACTCTAAGTTGAGCAATTTTCAATTTTCAAAGTTATACAAAATTCAATTCTTTTTTTAAGTTAGCTTAATGTAATTTAAGTTGAAATGACTTAAACATTCTAGTTGATTGTACTTAAAAATTTATGCCAGCAGCTTTTTTAAGTGTAATTGAAAAAAAAAAAAATAAGTTGTGTGAATGCATAACTTAATTTTTTTTAATTACGCATGGTGTATTTACTTAATCATTTTAAGACAACGGGTTTCCCCTTTTTTTTTTAAGTTTAGTCAACTGATCACTTTTTACAGTGGGGCAAAAAAGAAATAACCTCTTAAACATGAAAGTATCACGCAATCATTTGCAGAAGTAGCAATCATTGCTATTTGTATATTGTTGAAAAGTGACACACAAATGAATTGAAACAAGAAATAAAAGCCATCTAAATTCCATTTAAATGACAGTTTTTGTCTCATCTATTTGTGGCCCCCACCTATATTGTGAAATCTGACTGGTCCATAATTCTGCCCCACCAAGCAGTTTTTGATTACTTTTTCATTACCTGATATTTCGTCATGTTGCAGTTTTGAAAATTTGCAATTTGCTTGTTAGGGCACAGATAGAGGTTTAATATGACTGACAGCCATGCACAGAGGGGCCTTATTATCTGGATTAAGAAGAGAAACTCACAGTTACTCTCATTCAGAGTTCGATGATGAATGGGTACGAACTACACCTGTGTTCTCTAGATCATCCAGACCACCTGGGGTTATCTCTGGTATGGAATCATCCTATCACACACACACACACACACACATTTTAAATAGTGACAGTAGACGAGACCGATAAAGATTGGCTGGTGTGTGTCTACATGAGAGAAAAAAAAAAGTGGTGAGAGGTTTCTTTAAAGGTATAGTTCACCAAAAAAAAAAAGCAAAAAACTTTCATCATTTACCCACCCTCATGTTCCAAATGACTTTCTTCCATGGAACGGGAAAGGTGAATTTCTGAAGGCTGAATCATTCAGGCAAGCCTTGTTAACTGGATCAACAGATTCACTGAAAAGATCCAATTGAAGAATGATTCGTTCACTAAGTGAGATTGCAATTATCTCATAATTTTGTATATTTTTAAAGAAAATGTGGTTAAAAATATGAATATTTTAATAATAAAAGTGCATTAGACATACCATTTGTCTGTAGCCACCACATTTTGACATTTGGCTAATGTTTGGTCAGGCTTCCGAATGGAATTGGAAAAACCGTCTTAGCTCTGATGAAAACCAAACTTCTATGTCCATCTCAGTTCACTCAGAAGGGCTTTAGGGAGTTGTGTAATACATCACAACTTTAATCAAAAGTGTCAGCTCGCTTACGTAGGGAGTTGCCGGTGGAGTCAAAGTTGTTAGCGCTTTCTAGCTCTCTGACAGCTCCGCTAGTTGAACAGTGACAGGCGGCAGCTCCCGGAGACAGAGCCCCGAAGCCATACGTCACAGTAGTTTCCGCAGCACAAGGCCAGCAGTCTCAGAACTGAGGTTTAGCAGAGTTAATGACAACAGAAGACTCAGAAGTTAACTCAGAAGTTATCACATTGTCCAGCACCAATAGTAGTAGAAAAAATGGTGGGAGTATTTTGCCATGTAGTAACTGGTTCAGTCAGGTCATTAACAACAAACTAGCTTCAAGCAGATGTAACCAGCTTCAGGAAGTCTATTTGGTTTGGGGTTGCCTGTTGAGTAGCCAATGACCAGCTTGGACAAGTTAGAAACCAAGTATGTTTCATAACAGGAGCTTAAGATGGATTTCAGGGATATTTACAGCATGATATATGTGTTATTAAATGCAAAAAGCAAGCATAAACCATTCCACTTAAAAATGTACTTTTGGCAGCAAAGTGAAAATGGAAAAAAAAAAAAAAAAAATTCAGCAATTTAGTCCTAAATAACCAATTCTGGTAAACTAATAAATTGATGTAATAGTAAACAGCATTGGGGAAAGTTACTTTTAAAAGTAAAGCGTCATAACATTACGTTACTCCCTAAAAAAGTAACTCATTGGAAAATAATGCTTTTGCATTACTTTTTCTTACCATGAGTGGGGCTTGCTTGTTTGTTTGTTTGTTTGTTTGTATAATAACAAAAAAGAAAATCTAAAGTCATTTTTGCTAATTATCATTGAAATGGATAATCCAAGGTCAGCAGCAAATTCGTAGGTTTAAAAAATTCAGATTAAATACATAAAGTATATTTGTGTTATTTAACATTTAATTATTGCACGTTTGCTTAATATTTCTGAATTTGCATTTCACAGTTTTTATTCTTTTTGATGGATACTGAATCTGTTTTTTGTGCAAGTGAGATGAGTGCTCACATTTAGGGCCATATTTTAACGATCTAAAATAAGTGCGCAAGCGCACTTAGTGCATGTCTGAATCCACTTTTAAATGTTTAACCACGGAAAAAATAGTCGGTGCCGGTGCGGTCCGACGTATGGTCTAAAAGGGTTGTCCCTATTCTCCAAATTAGTAATTGGTGTGTTTTGGGCGTAACATGCAATAAACTAATCAGAGTCCCATCTCCCATTCCCTTTAAAATCCAGTTGTGCGCGCCATGGCAGATTTGTAAAAACCGAATGCTTCTCTAGCGAGGAAATGAATGGATCATCTACAGGACAAAGTGTGCGCACATTGTGGACCCAGCTATATAGGCGCATGTTGCTAATGAGCTCTAAAAACATGTTGCGCCATTGACAGGTTTCAGTTGGGTAATGTCGAAGTCTGAGTAGCTTACAAAATAGCAACGCGCCAACAATGCGCCTGAACACAGCTCATTTTCAGACAAGCAGCCCATGGGCGCACAAATGCATTTGCTATTTCCACAGGATGTGAAAATGATAACTGCGTCGGGCTGAAACGAGCAAAAATCTCGGGCTGTCCCTGCTGATCTGTGTGAACATGCCATAGACCTGCTGCAGGGAGGCATGAGCACAGCAGATGTGGCCAGAGTAATAAACTACAATGTCCGTAATGTAAGACGTAAGAGCTACAGTGAGACAGGAAGAACAGCTGATCGTCCTTTCACTCCTAAGTCACGTCTAACCACATGTCCCCCCAGTTGTGTTTGAGAACTAGCTAGAGTGTAACTTCTCACAGCAAGACCTGGAATATCTGATAAGATGCACTGTACTGTACTTAAAGCAGCAGGTGGACACATCAGATACTGACTGCTACTTTTGATACTGACCCAGTTCAGGAACTCATTACTCATTTCTTGATTGGTTAAAAACATGTAGGCCACTCTCGTGACAACTTATCCTACAAGTAATAGCCTATTCAATAGGCTACAGGAATGACAAGCATTATAAGCTTCAATAACATGAATGAAAAACATGCCTTAAGCAGTTAGCAAGTAAAGTCTTAGCCAAATAGAATCTAAACATATTTTTTCAATCTCAGTACTGAGACTGTTGGCCTACTGTAGTTTGTAGCTGTGACTTATGTGTCCACAGACCTACAAGTGGACATCATGGGTTTTATTTTGAATGTTGTTCACATGCTTGTGCCTTCTACCTGTTGACCTCTCAGTAAGCTTCTCAAGCTAGCCATCTAGCATTTGCAGATTTCAGTTGATTTTGCTCACAAAGTGTGCTGAAAAAACATTTCTCCCAATTTACTGAAATAAACAACATAAAATAACATGTTATTTTGATTGTTAGTATTAAGGCAATGGGGCAGACACTTCCTACGACAACAATGCATTAATCAATGACACACATTTGCAGCAGTGCGTTGTTGTGCTCTAGTGCAAGGATACATCAGAAAAGAAAAGAGATTGAAAACAGGTTTGAACATTTTTCAAGGGTGATATTTTTTTAATACTGTATGAAAAGCCCAGAGCAGTTAAAATGCCAATCAAAATTGTGGCGGGAAAAAACCCAAACTGTTGTGTTGATGGAGCTTGTGTTCCTGTTCTAACAGAATTGATGAGGAAAAGCCCCATCCTCAGGCTAACATCTCTCTCTCTCTCTCTCTCTCTCTCTCTCTCTCTCAATGCTTTTTTTAAGTTAGTGGAAAATGAGATCAGGTCTTCATAAGGCAACTGACCAAAATTAAAGCGGCATATAATTTAACTGAAATAGATACATCTTGGAATATTTGATAAAATTCCAAATATGATTCTGAAAATTCAAGTGATACTTTCCACAAGCCACTGAAATGGAGAATATACTGTATGGCCCACTGTATTGCCAAACGGGAAATTGTAAATTAATCAATTGTGGACTATATTACTGACAGTTAAATTGGAGGTGTTTGTAAAATTACACAAATATTCCATTATTCAAAAGAGGAATTAATTATGACAGGGTGATTCTCTCTCTAATCCTTCTCCTCCCCATTTCTCTTTCTCTCTCCGAGCCTCTCTTCGGTCATCCAGCCTAAGGCACACATGCTTTCCATACATTTGACACAAAAAGGTATGTGTTATTTTCCAAAAATCTCTTATCTTCCTGTCTTAAAATGTCAAGTATGAGTTGAGGAAGGGCAGAGATTCATACATAATAATACAGAGGATCTTTAAACATGCTGTTAATCTTGACCGACGTTTGGGATTTAAATAAGCCATGACTTTAATCTCCTGTTGAGAAGTCAAAGTAGTGATAGAGCTCATGCTGCTCAGACAGGCATAGATGCTTTATGGGAGTGATCACTGAAGTGACATACATCTAAGGTGTGTGAAGACATGAGAGTGTCCAAACTTAATAGCTAAAGCTTTATATTTAGCATAAATGTGCATGAAGATCTATCACATAAAGCACACCTCAGTGTATCTCCAAGCAGCTCTCAAAAGGAGCAGAAGCTGGCCAGGAATGTGTGGTGAATGTTCCCTGACCTGTCTGAGGCCTGAGGTAGCAGGCCAAAGCTGTGGCCTTGTAATGAACTCAAACACAGCTTTAACAAGGCATCAACCTCAAGAGCTCAAGGGGTCGGATGTCACAAACTCACAAGTTCAAAGAGTTTCTTATTTCTTCTGCCTCTGGACAAAAACAGAACACTCAGCAGCGTGGTCATAGACAGGTGCCTCATCTCCCACTTTTTTGGAGAAGCTGGTGAAGAGCTGGAAAACATTTGGAGAATGACATTTCAATATATGTTTTGTCTACTACAGAGCCTGCATATATCGTGGCCACAAATTCAGAATTCATTCCCACGACTTACTAATATGTCAGCAAATTTTACTAATTTATTACCTCGTTTCAAGTAGATTGTGAACGATATACTGTAATAATTTGTGAACGGTGAAACAAGTGAACGGATTAGTAAATCATGGGCACGATTTACTAAAATAAGAGAACGAATTCTTAATTTGAGGCCACGATATCTATAATTTTTGTTTCCCCACGTCATGTGGAGAGCTTCATAGGATAGTTTTTCAAAAAAAAAAATTCAAAAAATCTGTTCTAAAAATTCATAATTTACCCATATAATGATTCAAGCCAGCATGACTGTGGAACAGGAAAGGGATTTTTTTTTATCAAATGTGCTGGTCGCTGTTTTCCATGCATCTACAATGGATTGGAACTGAAGTTTCAAAAGGACACAACTGCACAATGGAAAAAAAAATATGTATATAAATGTTGCTCATATGATTCATGTACTATTTAATTCTTTAGAAAACTTAGCACATGAATCATATTAGTATATTTTATACAAAAACACACTGAGTGTGACTGTCAGTGAGTTTCCAAGAATCAAATCAGTCCGATTAACAAACTATTCATTCAGACCGGTTTTAAAACTGTATCAACTGATTTAATCCAAATTTATTCATTAATCAGTGGTTGGTTGCATTATAGTTAGTCGTCAATTTTTTTTCTTTGAGAGTGGTCATAACTTTTTTAAAGTCACTTATATATGAAATACTGCAGTATTTATTTTAAATAATTTATTCATGCTCATTTTTTTTCAATCAAGATAAATTCCTCTCCCTCTTGCAAAGACATCTCTTCTCTGATGATGTGTTTGCTGGCGTGAAAACAGGACAAGCTGTAACTCACATGAGATCACATTAATACCAAACCACAATGATCCAATCAGTTCCTGATGGACAAAATCAAGTCCCACCCTGGATTTATTTTCTTGTTCGAGAAGCCGTTTTACTTGCATATAAAGGATTATTAGGAACACCAGTTCAATTTCTATTTCTACCAATCACATGGCAGTTGCTTCAATGAATTAGGGGTGTGGTCCTGGTCAAGACAATCTCCTGAACTCCAAACTGAATGTCAGAATGGGAAAAAAGGTTGTTTAAACAATTTTGAGCGTGACATGGTTGTTGGTGCCAGACGGGCCGGTCTGAGTATTTCACAATCTGCTGTTACTGGGATTTTCAAGCATAACCATTTCTAGGGTTTACAAAGAATGGTGTAAAAAGGGAAAACATGCAGTATGCGGCAGTCCTGTGGGCGAAAATACCTTGTTGATGCTAGAGGTCAGAGGAGAATGGGCCGACTGATTCAAGCTGATAGAAGAGCAACTTTGACTGAAATAATCATTTGTTACAACCGAGGTATGCAGCAAAGCATTTGTGAAGCCACAACACGCACAACCTTGAGGTGAATGGGCTACAACAGCAGAAGACCCCACCGGGTACCACTCATCTCTACTACAAATAGGAAAAAGAGGCTACAATTTGCAAGAGCTCAGCAAAATTGGACAGTTGAAGACTGGAAAAATGTTGCCTGGTCTGATGAGTGTCAATTTCTATTGGCGTAAACAGAATGAGAACATGGATCCATCATGCCTTGTTACCAGTGCAGGCTGGTGGTGGTGGTGTAATGGTGTGGGGGATGTTTTCTTGGCACACTTTATGCCCCTTAGTGCCAAATGGGCATCATTTAAAAGCCACAGCCTACCTGAGCATTGTTTCTGACCATGTCCATCCCTTTATGGCCACCATGTACCCATCCTCTGATGGCTACCTCCAGCAGGATAATGGACCATGTCACAAAGCTTGAATTATTTAAATTGGTTTCTTGAACATGACAATGAGTTCACTGTGCTAAAATGGGCCCCACAGTCATCAGATCTCAACCCAATTGAGCATCTTTGGGATGTGGTGGAACAGGAGCTTCGTGCCCAGGATGTGCATCCCACAAATCTCCATCAACTGCAAGATTCTGTCCTATCAATATGGGCCAACCTTTCTAAAGAATGTTTGAATGTCAGCACCTTGTAGACCAATGCCACGTAGAATTAAGGCAGTTATGAAGGCGAAAGGGGGTCAAACACAGTATTAGAATGGTGTTCCTAATGTGAGTGTAAGTCACAATAGAGAGGAAAAGACTATTGCAACTGTGTTTTTTTCATGCCGACTTTAAGTCAGTTCTACTTAAAAAAGAAGACTGACATTATTTGAATCCAAAAAGATTAAAAAAGAGAGAGAGACTGATTATCCCTTGACTAACTGCTAGTTGGTCAGACTAGTTTTTAAGAGGCAGTCTAACATAGTGACTTTGTTTTGCACCTGGCCACAGGTATCATTACTTCATCATCCTGGCCACAGGTATCATTACTACATGATTATGCAACAACACAAAGGAAAGCAAGGGTGAAAGATTTTCAGTAATTAATGACTAATGTAAAAACATTAAGGATTTTATTGTGTTTTTTTTTTTTTTTTGGCACATCAAATATGGTACCCGGAAACTGAAATGTGCTTGCTCAGTGCATGAGAACCAGTAAGATACGTTCTTGCATATCATAGAAGTGCATTTGTGCTTCCATTTACCACATATGATGTGCTCTATGTATGTGCAATGGTCAATTCAGTGTAAAAAAAATCAGTAGAAAAACATAACATGGTCATTTTCTGCCAGGACATTACACGTCAGTTTCTGGACTCTAAAGCACAACACAGATATTTCCTTTAACTCTAAAATACAACACAATGCTATGCATAATTCAAAATATGGGGAAAACACACACATACATACATTATATATATATATATATATATATATATATATATATATATATATAATGGTCGATCGTTTCGCTATTTATGTATATATAATGGCCGATCGTTTCGCAATATATATACATAAAATGACCAATCGTATTCCTCGACTGCATGGGATCATGTAGAGCCATTTGAAGCTGCATTCAAACTGCAATTTGGACCTTCAAATCGTTGCATCCTGGTTGTACCCAATTGAAGTCCACTATGTGGAGAAAAATCCTGGGATGTTTTCCTCAAAAGCCTTTCGACTAAAGAAAGAAAGAGGTGAACATCTTGGATGACGTGGGGGTAAATTTTAATTCTGAACTAAACTAATCCTCTAACAAAGTAGAATGGGTCTTACTTTTATGCTTTTTTGTCTTTGTATGTGAACAAAAGCCTAAATTATTTATTATCATGACAACCCCAGTCTTAATAGACTTTTAGAATACTGACTTAATGTTTGGGTGGGTATCCCTTTAATCTTTAGCCAGTGACAGCCAATGACAAAAGAACATTTCTGTGTTTTGTGTAAAGAGGAATTCCCTGACTTCATAATCCTTGTAGCTGTGATTTGCAATGGCTCATTAATGCTTGCGTCATTATTTTCATCTTGCGCTGCAGTCACCACCCACCCAGCAGCACGGAAAGTGAGCGAGAACACCTGAAGGCTAGAGGAGGCCCTAAACCTGCTCAGACAAGCACCTGCTAGACTCTAAAGCTTCAATGTGTCTCCTTGCAGTAGCAGATTCCAGCAGACAAATTAGCAACTCATATCAATCCAGTGTTTGTATTCCCCACTCGGTTTTGTCGCCGCACCCTTCTTTCCTCAAAACGGTTTTGGTGTGTATTTAAGCATTTGTGATCCCTCCACACTGACGCGTTCCTCTTCTCTCATCCACTTCAGAGTCAATGGTGTGCATCCCAAACAAACAAACCACAGATCACTGAGGATGTGAAGCATGCGATGCAAGCACGCTCGGGTCTTTATCAAAGCATGCGGTTTAGTAATTAACTAAACCAAACACATCCACATCTAATTAGGAGTCTACCTGAAACATAGACACTGTAGACGGCCGAGAAAGAATGATCCCCCATTCAGCACAACACGCACACACACCACCACCAACACACTAATCATCCACATGGGTGAGAGATTAATGGACAGTTACACTGCAAGCAAATGTGTAATTATGCCACTTACTCACTCAGCAAACATAGCAGAAAACAGGCTCTGCTTCCAGTAAGTTTCTATATAAGGGGTTGGGGTTTCTGTCAGACACTTACAAAATAATAATCTTAACTGATAGGAATAAAATATGGTGGAGTGTCAGACTATAAAAATGTCATACTGTAACCATGGCTTCTTGGATGGAAAACAGTAGAGCTTACAAATACAGGCAACAAAAACGTACTGGATTCACGGCTCTTCCTTTGAGGGAAAGTTCACCTAAAAATTGAACAATCTGTCAGCATTTACGCACACTCATGTCATTCAAATCCAGCATGACTATCTTTCTTAAGTGAAACACAAGCGATTTTATTTATTTTGTTAAGTCTCGTTGTTGTTTTTTGTCCATTCAATGGAAGTCAATGGGGTCCAAATGTTGTTTTCATTGTGTGACTTTCATTGTGTGGACAAAAACATATTTTGTGTCTCAGAAATGAAACAGAGTCATAAAAGTTTAGAATAAAATGAGGGTGATTAAATGATGACAACTTTCTTTTTGGGGTAAATGATCCCTTCAAGATGGTTTGGTTCGGGGACTATTGGGGGACCTTATTGGATTATGTACAGTATATACGTTATTTAATTATATCAAAAATCAATCAAATGAAACTCCTAAAAACACATTAACTATAGAAGAATTGTATATAATAAATATTAAATATATTTAAATAAGTTTCAAGAAAAAAATGTCAGGTCAGGTCTTCAACTAACAACTTACTGACTATGTTTATAATGAATTTGAATCATTCTTGAATCTTCTTTAATTAATTTAGTATATCAACATTGCTAGTTTGGTGTTGCAAGCAGTGCTGTCATAAGTACAGCAGAAATATCTTAGACTATGTGGGGCCTTTGAATATCGAGTTGGACAATGGACAAAAAAAGGCTGCTGTTGACAATTTGACCATAGATTACGGTATATTATATAACAGAGAGACATGTGATGCTTACCTGTGCAGCTGTTTTAAACACTTCCACTTTCACCTACCTACAGACACAAACCTCAGCGTTATGACGTCAACTCCGTGACAAAGTCGACGGTGCCGTGACGCACCTATGTGATGCATCAAAGGCAGCGAGACAACGCAAATTATCTTAACATAAGACTCTCGGCTCCTCTGATACAAAGACTCACCTCTCACACCTCCTCTGATTCCTGGCAGCCCGTTAACATCTCCCAGCTCTGTGTTCACGGTTTCACACAACATCAAACAGAGGGAATGTACGACTGGAGCGAGGGAGGAGAGCAAAAGAGAAGCCGAGAAGCCTCTGAGGGGGATTTTTCTCTTCTGACTTCAATGCTGGGGCTTTTGTGTGTGAGGGGTGCAGCAGTACACTCATCTGTCAGAGAGATTGGTGCTGTGATAGGGTTGCACCCCGCGGGGGGCCTGAGGTCATCGTGAGCGGCTGATCTCTAATAGGTGTGATCCTCCACTGGCCTGAAGGGGGAACCAGGTAAACCTTTGGTCCACAAGCCAGCGTCTATGCCAGCGCTGTCAGGCAGCATATCTCATCATTAAAGCATGGAGCACTGTCTTTGCGCACTCAAGGAGGCTACTTAAAGGAGTAATTTACTCACCCCCATGTCATCCAAGATATACATGTCATTCTTTCTTCAGTCGAAAAGAAATTAAGGTTTTTGATGAAAACATTTCAGGATCTTTCTGCATATAATGGACTTCAATGGGAACCAAACAGTTCAAGGTCCAAAAGACAGTTTCAGTGCAAACTGTTCAAAGGGCTATAAACGATTTCAGATGATAAATAAGGGTATTATTAAGCATAACGATCGCTCATTTAAAAAAAAAAAAAAAGTTTAAGTTTTATAAGCTCAAATGGTCGCCTTGCTCTGTTAGGGTTAGGGTGTGATGCGCGTTCGTGACTCTCCCGTTCGAACTCGTTCATCAAAATGGGCGAATCTTTTCCCGAGTCAACTCGTTTATTTTGTTCGTTGAATGAACCGAATTACATGAAAAAAGATTCGTTCATTTTGATAAACGAGTTCGAACAGGAGAGTCACGAATGCGCATCACAGAACAGAGCAAGGTGACCATTTGAACTTATAAAACGTAAACTTTTTTTTAAAATGAGCGATCGTTTCGCTTGATAAGACCCTTATTCATCGTCTGAAATCGTTTAAAGCCCTTTGAACAGTTTGCACTGAAACTGTCTTTTGGACCTTGAACCGTTTGGTTCCCATTGAATTCCAATTACATGGAGAAAAATCCTGGACTGTTTTCATCAAAAACCTTAATTTGTTTTTGACTGAAGAAAGAATGGTAAGGATATCTTGAATGACATGGGGGTGAGTAAATTATCAGCAAAAGTTTTTTTAAAAGTGAACAACTCCTTTAAATTCACAGGGTCTGAAAACAATTACAAAATATATATTTGGCAATGTAGAGTTCTTTTATTGGGTTATTTTACTTTTTAAAACACAATTCTTAATCGAAATGTTCTTTTAATCATTTTGACTACATAAACCTGCCCGTTTCTTACAATCAACTGCAAATTAAGACCTGCTTCCAATCAACGACAAATGCACAGAACCCTATATATATATATATATATTTTTTTTTTTGGTCTGTTATGCCACTGTTTTGGTTGTGCCACTCAGATGAAAAAAAAGGATTGCTACTTCCGTTTTATCTATTACGACTTTAATCATGAGGGGCCTCAAACGACATGCTGTTTTATAAATTGGTGGCCACAGGATTATGATAATGATGTCTGTTCAAATTTTGATTCAACAATCAAATTAAACCACTCTTCTGCATAGTAATAGTTCATTATCCAAACTGTAGACTTATTACAGTTGGCAGGTACTTGGCACATTAAAGAATGGCATTGGCTCATCCTATCAGAATTTATGGTCTTTTGTATTATACATTTTTTTAAATGATCTTTACAGAATGTGACATTAACAGATAAGGAGTCGTTGGGTTCAGAGGTTCATGCAGAAATGTTTTATAGCAATGTCTGTGAGAAAATGAGGATTGAACTGCTAATAGATTCCTCTGGTGTACAACTGAATCTTTTCCAGACAGTGACAGGATTTACAACACTGAATATTTGACTTATTACAGTTCCAGTCAGAGCGTGTGTGTGTTCTGCATATGTTATGGAACAGGCAGATCACACACACACACACACAAATGTAAAAATATGTGATAATCAGCAACAGTGCTAAAGGAGAGTAGGTCTAAGGGTTACACCTATTGTTAAAGTATGCGATTTTACTCAATTTTAATGGTCCTTATGTTTTATGCAAGTAATGTTTAACCTACATGTCTACTAACTCTCATTAGAGTGTTAGTAGAGTATTAGTGCACTTGAATCGGTTAAGATTAGAATAAGTTGACATATAGTTGCAGTTACTAACTTACTAGTCAGTAGAATGTCTGTCAGAGGATCATCACATATCAGATATTAAGCAGACAGTCTATTAATACTCTTAATGAGAGTTAGTTGACATGTAATTGCAAAGTTACCTTCAAAATAAAAATGTTAACAAGTATGTCAAAACAGGGAGGTAATTGTGTGATTTCATTCTTATTTTAGACAGAGCAAAGACGGCAATAAAATTAATTTTCATTTTGAAAGTACAATCGTATCTGGAATAACTAATTGATTGGGGCTGTTTCTATTAAGTGTTCTTGAAACTCTTGAGCTACTCACTGTTTGGAGCAGAAGGAAATCTGTAAGGAATCTGCTGTCAGCTCCGCTACTGCACCCAACCACACACATGAATACACTAAAAACAGCCAAATATCAAATGACAGACAGACAGACAGACACACACACACACAAAAAGGAGTTGGGTTAAAAAAAACTGGATCGGCAAAGATAGAAATATTCTAAGCTTTCACTATTTTCCACAAACAGAAAAAAATCCAACACTAACATTCAATCTAATACTAAACTAACTTGCAAAATATACAATAACGGTGACAAAAGATTAGATTATGCAATCGCTCTGAACAACTTTTTTTTTTTCTCCAGTGAAGAATAGATTTGTGTCTAGATGTGGGTCTAATCTTTACACTTGCGTTTCAGGTCCCTGGCCCTTGGGCAGCAGTACTCATCCATAGGATCACAACCCATCCTGTGTGGCTCCATACCTGGCTTGGTGCCAAAACAGCTGCGCTTCTGCCGCAATTACATTGAGATCATGCCCAGTGTAGCGGAGGGAGTCAAACTGGGAATCCAGGAATGTCAGCACCAGTTCCGTGGCCGCAGGTGGAACTGCACCACTATCAAGGACAATCTAGCCATATTTGGACCAGTACTTGATAAAGGTATGGGTTAACAGCACACATCAGTCTAGTTAGTATTTAAATTGCCATAATAACATGGTCTACATATCAGAACTGCATTTAGTCAAGGTGTATTTGCTTTCGAGGTCAATTATGCTAGTAGTGTTGCAGCAGGCTAGTAGCAAATCATGGTTTAGTGGCAAGTGAACTATTTAAAAGTCATGACGATAAATGAATTTGTCTATTTTAATGAAAAATGAAGAAAATATGAAGAGACAAGTAATACTGCAAGACATTATTGGCTAATTATCATAGTAAATCAAGGAGGTCACAATTTAGTTTAGGGTCCAATTCTCATTATTAACTAACTATTAAGACTATTGCTTATTACTGTTTATTAACAGTTAGTAATACTTGTTCAGCTCAGGTAGGTAGGATTAAGGGATGTCGAATATGATCATGCAGAATAAGGCATTAATATGTGCTTTATAAGTACTAATAAACAGCCAATGTCCTAGTAATAAGCAACTAGTTAATAGTGAGAATTGGACCCTAAACTAAAGTTACCATAGAGTTACCATTTACCATTCTACTCCACTTTAGTTGAAAGCTGAATGTTGTAAACTGAACCGCTTTAGCGGGTTAATTAATTGGTCTGTCCAGTTTCCAACTACACAGACAATAAAACAAAATCATAGAGGGACATGCTGCTATAACTCTTTTCATAACAGGCTTTATATAAATCAATGTCTTAAATAGTCCAAGACACGTAAATGATAGTTTAAAAGACGAAAAAAAGTCATTATACTAAAGTTTTCACTTGTTTTTCCCTTATGTTTTGAGATAATCAAATTAATAAATGTGTATGCATTATTCAAAATGTTAACTACCAAATATAGTCTGTCGTGTTTTTAAATGAACAATTAAATAAAAGATTTATCAACCAAATTTATTTGCCACTTCAGTGGAAATACAACAGATGAACATGAAATATTATGCTATGTATGATGAAATATTCAATAGACTAAGTGGCTGTTTACACAATGCCGTTTCCAACTAAAAACATAAAACTTTTTATGCGTTTTGGCCGTTCATTTACACGCAAAAACGCTGAAAACGCAAACTTTTGAAAACGAGTTTACAAATTGCAAGTTTTTAAAAACGATCTCCGTCTAACAACAAAAACCCAAATCTCTGAAGACGATTACATCATACACATGCGTATTACCTGTTCGGTTTAGAGCGTTTCATCACCATCTTTTCCCTGGCATTAGAATACAATGTCTTTAGTCATTTTCGCGGATTCGTGTGAATGGAGATTGTTTTGAAAATGGTGTTGTCTGTATGCTAAAAACTTGAAAGCAAAACTCTGTTTTAAGCATATTGTTGTCGTATAAACATACCCTTAAAACATTTTCATAAAAAGACAAAAAACTAAACACAAACCTGCATAAAAATGAACACATCCTTCAATGTCCCACCCAAACTTGCTGTTTCAATAGAAAAATGTCAACTGCTCAAGCAATTTCATTGCACTTTAAAATAAAAGTCCATGTAGAATGTGCAATATTTTCAATTTCTATGCACATCTTGCTATAAACATTTAATTGACATTACATATGTGGGGTTTTCCCATACTGTTTCTGATACTCTAGATGTGAATGGTTCTGAAAAATTGAGGTGAAAGGGACAAAAGTAACTTCTGAGAACATCTATTCCCAGTCGTGACAGAAAGGATGCTAAATGGATCTCTCCCACACGAAATCACATACATTCTGGACGGTTTAGATGGTAAAGCAGTTATCCAAAGTGCAGGACCTGAGCAGGAACAGGCAGTATGTGAAGGAGAAACAGAGAGAGAGAAAAAGAGAAGGGAGGCCAAAATGAGATTACAAGCAATAGAAAAGGGCTAGAGGGTTCACTTCGACCCCTACTGTGCATGAAGGCCAGTATGAGCCATCCCTGTGTGCCTCTTACCGCCCGGCTCCCACGGACGCCCCATTCACACGCCCTTTTGACTGTGTCATGAAAGCAGGCTGAAAGGGAATCTCCCATCCTTCCCCATCATGGAGGAAGAGAGGTGGAAGGCAGTGGGATCTCAAGAGGGGGATAAGGAGAGGATGAAGGAGACGGACAGTATGAGGTGAAGATAAGGATGTAGGGTCTCTGTCTGCATCCGGATTGGCCCGATGGGTCATAACTGGATTTTATAAATGCTTTGGAATATTTTGGCATAGTGGCTGGTATGAGATGTATGTGTGTTTTGTGTATGTGTGTCACAAGAGGTGGGGGGGGGGGGTCACTCCTTTTTAGGAATGCCAGCCCCTGCTCTGGGCAGCGCTGAACTGGGCTATGGGGTGCGGGGTGCTGGGCGCTTTTGTGTGGGTAATACGGTGTGACAACACAGAGACAAAGGCGGATTCATGGAACCAGCAGGTAGCGGGAGCTGCGCTCTTCTTGGCCCTTGGCCAGGGCTCCTGGGGCCCAGAGCTCACAGTTCTCTGTTGTGGTGAACCCAGCTGGGCCTGCCAGAACCAACTGGGCCTCCTTCTGGCAGCAAACCCAGAGAGGTGCGCGCCCAAACACAACCTTTATTAAAAAGGACTGTTTGTCTATGTGTGCGGACATGAACTTCCTGCAAGAATAAAACAAGAATACCAGGGGTGAGATGAGTCTGCAAATTCATGAGAAACAGCTAGACATCAACGGACGTCCATAATGTCTTAAAGACCCTGTGAAATTGCTTGATGAACACAGTTTTCTGTCCTGTGTTCATGCATTTCCTCTTGAAACAGGAAGTTTGCATGGGACAAATTCAAAGAGATTGGCCTAGTTACGCCACAGCCATGAACCATAATTTGCTAATCGGGGACATTCTCATTCTAAGGGGAGAGATCTGATTGGATAAAAATCTGTGTAGTGAAGGATGAGTCATCAATATTTGTTTCTGGAAGAGAGAAAATCAGAAGAGGAATGAACTTTGAAACTGTTTAAAAATTACGTTTTCTATATAGTATGAAAGAAATCCAGGCGCGTCATGTGACTTGTGTAAGCTGCGCCACTTCACTGGCATTCACATCTCCTTTCCCGTGGCCTCATGGGATAGTAAAGTGTCCATTGGATATGCACTTCAGAATCTCAGAAGTATTAGGGTGTTTTATGGCTACTTTTTCGGCTACTACATAGTATACGAATATACTATAAAATACTTGGATATACGATATCAAAGCTAGCAAACACTGACAAGAAATCGCACTACTGTCTACATAGGTGACTTCCTTCTACAACACATTCTCATCCCAAGACGTCATCTAACTGACGCTTTTGACCATACGTCAACATCCCGACATTTTAGGGCACCCTTTAACGTCAGTTAGATGACGTCATCCTGGGGCGTCATCTTACTGGCGCTTTACCTTTAGCGTCAGTTAGATGATGCAGATAGGTTTAGGTCTGGGGTAAGGTTAGGGTTAGATAGCGTCCTCTAACTGACGTTAAAGGGTGCCCTAAAACGTTGGATGTTGACGTATGGTCAAAAGCGTCCGTTAGATGACGTTTTGGGATGAGAACGGGCTTCCTTCTAAGATAGCGTCCCCTAACCATCATAGAAAGTAATAAGTGATTAAAATGAAAGTTGAAACTCTATACCACTTGAGCAATCAGCTTGAATCGCAATCATGCATTTATCTTTTTACTGAGCTCATGGCAGTGTATTAAGTGTTTAAAGGAATAAGTCACTCAAAAACTAACATTATGTCATCATTAACTCACCCTCACATCATTCGAAACCTGTATGACTTTTTTTCTACTGTAAAACAAGGTATTTAAAAAAAAAAGTCTCCTTTTTTGTCCACACAACTACCGTCAATCTTTTTTTAAGCCTCACCGAAGTTGAAAGCACAAAATACATCCAAGATTGTCCCAAGTAAGACTGCTAGAGAGACTTACAGAATTAATGTACTAAAACGATAACATACGTTACCATGACGACTATCATCTAAACATAACATAGTGAACAGGCACTCTGTTTTGGTCATAAATTCACATTATCCACATTACAGCATATTCCATGTGTGTGGCCGCTCCTTTAGATAATCTTACACCATTATAGGCCTTACTGATCCCCGACAAACTTGGTCTGAGAACCACTGTCATTAGAGGCACTTAAATGTTTGGGGTGATGAAGTTGTATTGGTTTTGGTTGACTTGCAGTTTTTCCTGTGGGGACCAAGAGAACTGGTGAGCCACAGTAAGTGTGCTGCGATTGTGAAACGATGGTGTCTGGTTACATAATAAGCTGTTACATTCAAAGGGGGCGTAACTCCATCTCTCAGCACATGCCTTCAGAAACCAAACACGAAGACTTATTGCTGGCTTTCACACACGTGGCCGCGGGGCTCGGACTGGTGGGAGATTGGGGGGGCTCCTGAAACATTATCCAGAGAGAAACCAGCACACCTTTGAGATGACACAACGTCAGCGCGACCTCGGGCTGCATTAGCCACAAGTGACATGATCAACAATCGTCCCGGTGCTGTCAGAGACGTTTCCAGCGCACCACTCAAACACCTCGTCAATATATTCCAGAGCTCATCACAGAAAACGATCCATGCCCTGAAGACACAGCACATATAGATGAGAGACTTTTGGGAGAGCACCAGTTAAAGAAGCAGGGATCTCCTTCAAACTTTTTACAAGAGCCTCAGGATAGACTACAGCTCAGTTCCAAAGGGAGTGAGCTGTCCCGCTGTCTAACTCCACGACTTCTAAGCCAGCATGCTAACTGTTGTGGAACCTCATAAATTACTCTCGATGCAGCAACTCAATGTGCCATCAGAATTTCTACTTTATTGTCCTGGAAACTGAAGGCAATTTGTCCTGAGAGCAGTATCCATTGATGATCAGGAGTACTCGTAGCCTGGTGCCAGACTTACATCAAGATGTTAGGTCTGGGAACTCTATACACGATGTGATTGGCCTGACCAGAGTTTGGTTTTTCCAGCTAAAACGTCTATGGAGAGTTGCTAGACCACACTGGCTGAAAAATTTTTTTTCCTGCCGCTAGGGTGCGTCTGGATTTCTAGGCTTGAGTACTCTAGTACTTGAACGTGACCGTGACGATCAATCATGAAAACGATGATCAGCTTGACTTAAAAAAAAAAAACTATTTCTCTTTTTCTGATTGGTTTTTGCTGCATTTTGGGCAGTGCCTTAGTCTGATTGGTTAGTGTTAGGACAGCATTGCCGTCCAGAGTCCAGACCGTAGAACTAAAGTGAAACTATGGCATTGAAAGCGCGCAATGATGCTCGTAACCACTTTGATAATGAAAATACAGTAAAGTGCAAGATCGCAAATCTGAAATATACATAACATTATAATAAGAACACTATCGTAAATTCTTTGTGCTCTAGTTGCCCGTGTCAGCAAGAACCTTTCTCTAGATATCAGCTCTATGGTCTACAGAATAAAGTCAAAGCTTTGGAATAACACCAGAGAAAATAAACAGTAACAGATGTTAATGTCAAAGAAAATCACTTTCTTCTCTTTCTTCTTTCTTCTCTCAAGCCACAAGAGAATCTGCATTTGTTCATGCAATTGCCTCAGCTGGAGTGGCGTTTGCAGTGACCCGCTCGTGCGCAGAGGGGACCTCCACAATGTGCGGCTGTGACTCCCATCATAAAGGCCCGCCGGGAGAGGGATGGAAGTGGGGCGGTTGCAGTGAAGATGCTGAGTTTGGGGTTCTGGTATCACGAGAGTTTGCCGACGCTCGTGAGAACCGACCAGATGCCCGGAGTGCCATGAACAGGCACAACAATGAGGCAGGACGGATGGTAAGAGACACATGATCTTTATAATTCATTGGGGGAAAATAATAATGTTGATTTTATATGAATAAATCCATTTGTACACTATACTGTTAAAAAAAATGGTATATATAAATGATTACTTTTAATCAGCAACAATGCATTAAACTGATCAAATGTTACATTGAAGACATTTCTGTTACAAAACGCTGGGTTTGTTTTCACCAAAAAAAAAATAAAAAATAAAAAATAAATGTACCGGTATTAAATGTATAAATTGACCTGTTTTCAACATTGATAATAAGTGATGTTTCTTGAGCATATTAGAATGATTTCTGAAGGGTTACACTGAAAACTGGAATAATGATGCTGAAAATTTCGCTCTGCCGTATCAAGAATAACTTACATTTAAAAATATATTAAATTAATGCTGTCAATCATTAAACATGATTAATCATACCTAACATACACAGTTTCTTAGAGTTTAATAATTTCACAATCTCTAAATTTCTGTCGAAGAAACATAAAGATGATGTATTATAATGTGGTTAATGGCATCTTTTTATGAAGTACAATATGTATGAAGGCCAGAATCACTGATATCAATACTGCTACTGGTGTCATTATTCAATGGATTTCCCTCTCCATTTTAGCCCTTAATTACAGCCATTCATCACGAAAGTATAATTGAAAGCCATATTTTTTAACATAGTTGTTTGTATCTTGCACTTGAATAAATTAGTAAAAACTGTAAAAATGGCTGCTGTGTTAAGTGAAAATAATAAATAGTAAATGCAGCCTTGGTGAGTATAGAGACTTCTTTCATTAACATTAAAAAACTGAGCCCAAACTTTTGAACAGTATAGAGTACCTTGTACTCAGGTTTGCAAGCGTCATAGATGTCATGTTGAAAACAGCATTGAGAAATACATTACATGACCAAAAGTATGTTGACACCCTCTTCTAATTAATGACTTTGACCCCAATGTATTGCAAGATGACATTTAGGTGTCCACATACTTATAGCCATATTGTGTATTTCTTTACTTAGGTATCCTTATATCTCCCTCTGCTTAAGCCCCCAGGATATCATCATTACCCTTTTGAAATTCAATATTGTCTCTGCTGTTAACATGCCGAAGGGTGACATATGTAATGTGAAAGGAGATAAGCTGAGAATACACACCATATTTGTGAAATCACTTTAGGTAAAGTGTGTAATTTGTGCGACACTCCAAACAGAAACGCAAAATAATGACCGCTTTCAAATACTCCATTTGTCATTGCTTGGACAAACAGGTAGTTCCGCCCCAAACTCACATGATTGGCTGAGCAAAATGTTGTTTTTGTGTCAGTCAGGCCATTGAAACCGATTGCGATTCCGGTAGTACGTCCCACAGAAATTACACACTTCATCTTTAAGCCATCAGGTTCATGATAACCAAACAAAGAACAAAGCTGTACTTGTGCCACTCCTGGGTGGGTCTTACCCCGCGGTTCACAAAGGTGCTAATGCACCGCAGATCTGTCAAATATCTCCTGATCCCTTTTCCGAGAGACTTTCAACTTTAAAACTATTTTCATGAGAAATTACCGGGTAATTACCGCTCTTATCCTTTCATGCCTCTCATAACTTGCATCTGTACTGAATCCGTGACAGAGGTGTAAACTCAGTTGGTGGTTTGAAGAAGGCAGGGAGGGAAGAATAACACTGGGGTTCAGGGTTTAGCCCGTCACTGCTGCTGTCATGACTCAGAATTGGGAGTCGTTCGCGTTAAAGGTGCTTAAGGGGCGATAGGCGAGACCACACTGCAACAGGCCGGCGCTTTGATCAGCGAGGGACCACAGGAGCAGGCACTGAGACAGTCAGCCCTGTCAGGACCCTTGCATACTCCATTGTTTCCACGCAGCCTGAGGGACCCGCTCAGGGCCCAAAGAGTTCGGGACATGATGTCAGCGGCCCCAACTAGACCCCCAGGGACCTGCAAACACCTGCCTTCCGCCGCAGCTGGGGAATTCTGCAGCTAAATATAGGGAGCAAATTAAGGCAAACAAACCAAAACAAAGACGTATAGTGCCGATGGCGTACTCCATTAAGCGGGACTTCAGAAGAGAATTAGACGAGAACTGCAAGGACCTGTCTGCACGCTCAGCACCTGAACAACAACCTGTGGCCTGAGAGCATCCAGAAGAACTTGAAGTCAAGGTTGTCGGAGACTTATGTGGATCCTGATATAAAAATCTGCTTTAGAACGGGGCAGGGTGATACTACGGGCAATAATCAAACAATATCACAATGATGACATTTAGATTCATCTGCACTATGACTGCAATTGTGATACTGCTTTAATACAACAATTCTTTAACAAGAAGCAGACTAAACATGGTTAGGAATGGGAATGGGAGAGAGTGATTTTTCAAATTGAGTCCAAGGTTCATTGGTTCCTGCAGTGAGTGAACTTTGCAATAGAATGTTTTAACCATGATTGGTAAATGGATAAAAGCAATTGGCAAATGTATTTAAAAATGATTTATCACTTTTTGTTTAATTGGTAACACTTTACAATAAATTTCATTTGTTAGTTACATCAGTAAATCTATTAATTAACACGAACTAACAATGAGCAATAGGCCTACATTGGTTACTGTATTTGCTGATCTTGTCACTTCACAGTGCTTTAATTGATGTTAAAAAATGTTTATTTATTGTGATTAATATGCCACTTCAGATTTGGTTTCTGTGCCGCTTTTTCTGTGTAAAGATCCCTAAATACAACATATGATTTTAATAATGTATTAGAAAATGTTGAAATTAACATTAACACAGATTAATAAATGCTGTAGAAGTGCATTTAATTATTAGTTCATATAGAGTGCCGAAGTGATGACGTCACTCTGTAGGCCAAAACGCGGAAGTGAGTTAGCATTTTAGCACTCCCGGTTCTATGGGAAAATCTATGGGATTTTTGAATGGGTTTTTGCTAAATCGCCTGAAATAAGATCAGTGGTGAACAAAGCCTCTAAATATATTCACGTTTTGATCTATGACATAGAACACAGTTATAACCTTGTGGTTTTTTTAAACTTTATTGTGTCTGTTTGTGTTTTTAAAAACTTTATATAGGCTTCAAAATGTATAAATTTTGGTTTAACTTGTAAAGATTATCTTGATAGACAAAAAGTGTAAAAACTCTATAGAGTGCCGAAGTGATGACATCACTTTGTAGGACAAATCGGAAGTTAGCGGCACATGGGTTCCCTCGATCGAAAAGCTAAGCATTTTCCCCATAGACTTTTGGAAAATCGCAAAAAAAAACAAAACAAGATCTGTGTTCAACAAACTGTTGTGACCCTTACACGTTTTGTATATCAAGATAATCTTTACAAGTTAATCCAAAATGTATACATTTTGAAGCCTATATAAAGATTTTAAAAAACACAAATCAGACACAATAAAGTTTAAAAAACCACAAGCAGGTTATAACTGTGTGCTCTATGTCATAGATCAAAATGTGAAAATATTTAGAGGCTTTGTTCACCTTCACCACAGACCTTATTTCAGGTGATTTAGCAAAAACCCATTGAAAAATCCCATAGACTTTAGAGCGAGGGAACCGGGAGTGCTAAAATGCTAACTCACCTCCGCGTTTTGGCCTACAGAGTGACGTCGTAACTTCGGCACTCTATTGAGTATATTTTCACGTTTTGATATGACATAGAACACACAGCTTCCGAGTTGTCCTACAAAGTGACGTCATCACTTCGGCACTCTATATGAACTAATAATTAACTGCACTTCTACAGCATTTATTAATCTAACTAACAATTAACTATTTAACTAATGATGTAGTTAACAAATGTTTAATGAACTTTTGTTTTATTCAACTACAATTTAACAGTGAATTAAATAGTTTTTTAAATCTTTAAGTAGTTTTTATATAAATAATTTAATGTTATTTAACTATAAAATAATATTTTATTAAAATGTGTTACATTTTCTATTTATTCTTTTATTTGTTTATAATAAAGTGATTTTTTTTTTAAGTTTTATATTTATGTTATTAAATGAATCATTTATTCCTACATTTTATTTTTAAGTGGCACAATCGCAATCATTTTAAATGGTCCTTGATGGATAACTAAAACTAATATCAAATTTCGAATGTTTTCTCTTTTCCAGACCATCCTGGAAAACATGCACCTTCGCTGTAAGTGCCATGGACTGTCAGGCAGCTGTGAAGTGAAGACCTGCTGGTGGGCGCAGCCTGACTTCCGGCTGTTGGGGGACTACCTGAAAGACAAGTACGACAGTGCCTCCGAGATGGTGGTGGAGAAACACCGGGAGTCCAGAGGCTGGGTGGAAACACTACGTGCCAAATACGCCTTCTTCAAACACCCCACCGAGCGAGACCTGGTGTACTACGAGGGATCTCCAAACTTCTGCGAGCCAAACCCAGAGACGGGTTCGTTTGGTACTCGTGACCGCGTCTGCAACGTGTCGTCGCACGGCATCGAGGGCTGCGACTTGCTGTGCTGCGGCCGTGGCCATAACACACGGACAGAAAAGCGTAAGGAGAAATGCCACTGCATCTTCCACTGGTGCTGCTACGTCAGCTGCCAGGAGTGTGTGAGGGTCTACGACGTGCACACGTGTAAATAAGAGCAGCAGGCGGAGGAAGAAAGGGACTAGAGGACATTAAAGGACGGAAAGCAAGAGAAGGAGAGGGAGAGACTGAGAACACACACACACACACACACACGATAGTGGCACTTCTGTGGTAGAACTCTTTACTAATGTGCCCTTTTTGATCTACACAGCCCAAAAGATGCCCAACGTGAGCATCATGGTTACTACTGCCATTCCTCTCACTTACTTCCGCAAAAGAACAAAATGTCTTGTTATCATTCAGTCTTCTTTATCTGTAACACCATCTCTCTGATCATCCCACCCAACTGTCCCGGGGCCGAAACGGGATATGTTCACCTACAACCAATGACACAAGGCACGCATGAAAGAACAAGAGGATGGGAGGGAGGGAGGGAGGACGACGAGAAACTACTGAATGCTGGGTCTCGAAATGCGCCCTGCTATACTACTGAATCCAATGCGTCGCTCATGTTTTCCCTCAAGGTTTCCTCATCCAAGGACATATTGAACACTACCACCACATTCCCTATAATTATACATGTTCAAAACGTGGAACGTATTTGCTGTTTGCTACATAAAAACCTCTTAATTTGCTTTATACAGCAGTTTGGAGGGGTGCAATCGATAAATTAGCGTAGAGTAGGATATTTTTCAGAACATGATCATGCAAAGCCATCGGTAACTCTTCTGGATGAGTGGATGACAGCTGGTGAAATGCATGACGGCAGAATGCGACGACGCGCACTGGGCTCACGTGCACCCGACCAGTAAAATTTTGCACTTACAAAACTACTAATGAGTATACTAATTCTAGAGATTATGACGATTATTTTTAACATATTCTTTTTGATAAAGCTCCTCGTATATGACTGTGAAGGCACCGTTTCAACACTTCCCTGATGAGAAGTTTGCTTAGAGGAAGGAGAACCAGTGAACAGGAGGAGGATAGTTAAGGAAAGAAATAAGAGGGTGAATAAAGGAGGGAAGTGGCAACCCATGAGATTTTACAAAGTTTACAAAGTGGTGATTTCGTATGAATTCGTACAATGTGAATTTGGAAAAAAGCAAGCATGAAGGTCCATCCCTAAACCTAACAAGAGGATCCTATGAAAATGTACGAAGATCGTAGGCTACTAGTTTATACGAAATAGCCACCAATTGGCCAAAATCGCCATGAGAGCGTGTTGGAAGTGGAGGACTGCTGTGTGCGGGTTTGAGTTTGTGATAAATGGAGGAAAGACTGGCTTCACAAAGCTGAAACCGACTTGAGGAGGTTTCCATACGACATGTTCTGACAGTCCCATACGCTTCCCGCTAATTAAGTTCTACTACGCAATGCTACTTCGCATCCACACCAATCCTTGAGGAGCCCTCTCTCAACGGTCACATCTACGCTCCCTTTTCCATTTCTCCTTCCGCTATATCCAAAGTTTTGTACAAAGCCTTTAAAAGTTCATAATTCCCTTTTTATTTTATAATCTGAAAATGTTATGTTTTTATAAATATTATTTATTACACAATGTATATATCTGTATGACTGAACTAAGATTATATATTTGAAGAACAAAACCGTCTCATGATTTTGCTTTTGAATACAAGATTGGCTTTTGCGCAAATGATATATTGTGCTATATAGCCTCCTTTGATATGCAATGCGGATAACGACACTTTTAACAACCAATGATTTTCTCCATAGTGGCATAAAAATAAAATACTGTGCAACACTGGCACGCAGCTAAATAAAGGGTTCGATCTACCAGATCACAATCATCTGACCTCCATGTCTGCATCTACTCTGTCATTCCAGCGCTGACATCATCCTGTAGGTTTGCAGGCGGATCTCTGGTGTCTCCATTACAGTAGCTAAACAAAATGACATAGTAAAGCATGACATAATGCACCATACAAATATTGACTGAAATAAAACATATTTTACCTGTTCATGATTGATATTTGGTACTAGGCTCCTGGTGTTGTATGCACAGGACAAATTGAGAGTCACACTGTTATTAATCTGGCTTCTGGTGCTGTTCGGTGATTTATTTTAATCGGAATGGTACGGAACTGGGTAAAATGTGGCACTTGCTATGTGAACATACAAAAAAAATCATGGACATGATTAAAAAAGGTTGAAAGGTTAAAAAAAAATAGTCATACTTGTACTGTTCGCGCTCAAAAATGACTTTGGAAACTAATTTCTTCTAGACGAAATGTTTTTGTACTGCGCCCAACAAAATCTTACTAAAAGCTAATTTTTTGAGATATCAACCTCAAATTTAAAACACAATTTGTTTAGATTTAAGGCTTTGATTTTCTCTGAGTTTTAGAGTAAAACATGTAAAAAATATATATTTATTATAATATTTAAAATAGAATTTTTATGCATTTTTTTTATAATAATAAAATTAAGTTTGGTCTCTTTTTAAAGACATTTGGCAGATTATTGTTGAAGTGAGGAAAAAAAAAACTATAAATGTTTAAGTCCAAAGCATTCCAAGATTTCCGACAGTTTAAATCAAGAAATTGTATTTTTAAGTCTAGGTTAAAAATGTGATTCATTCACAGGTAAAAAAAAAAAAAAGGATCATTATAACTATTTCATTAATATAATTTAGTACCATAAGATCCCCTGAAAATACAAGACATTAAATAAAAAACAATATTGACTAACTAAAATTTAGTACATTCATTTCATTGAAAAACACACACACACACACACACACACACACACATATATATATATATATACACATACACACACACACACACACACACACACTTCAGTCATTTTTGACAGCACCAGTGACTTAAAAACAGTTATAAATGCCAACCACTAACTGAGAAGGTAGAAAGTGTGATACTTTTCTTTAAAACAAAAATCTAATTACAAAACAATGATGGGAGTCCTTTATTGCAATATGAAAACCACACTTTAATCAGAGAATCATTGAAGATGTTATTTATATTTCAATTTTCTAGAGAAAACATGTTGTATTTAATTCCTCAAAGAGACATGCCATAAAAATATAATAAAGCATGTTAAACTCCAAATGTTCAACAATAAGGACATCTACTACATGTACTAGTGTGTAGACAGGCCAAGATCAAACGTGTACACAAAACTCATTAGAATTTAAAGAGCAAGTCCTTTTGGTGTGGTTAAATTATTACTTTCACAGATCAACAGTAAAATCATAATGGGGGCATAATGTTCTTCTTAATTGCTCTGAGAGAGAGAAAGTATGCGAAAGAAGAGGATAATTCAAGGCCAATGTGAAGTATCTCGGCACTGTTGGCAGACTGGAAGACGGGAGGTAGGTCATGGGTTTACACAATATTTTTAAGGCCACTATGTTAACCATTAGACTGAAACGAGGGGTATTTCATCTCTGAGACTACAACCTTTCCTATGTTCCTGACATGGAATGTCCAGAGTGACTTAAGAAGGACGAATAGTTCCCTTTCTTAAAAAAAAAACACTGCTCTTCTTGTCCGAAAACAATAAAAGCAATAAACAAACTACAACAGTATACTGGCATGCAAAGGCACAGGAGTGAGAATTTCAATATAGTTACTGGAAGGCACTGACTGTTTCTAAGATAATAAGTCCATGACAAATGGAAAAGTGAGCAGAGGTTTGGTCAGAGAATTGCTAAATTTACACATCCGAGTATGGACAATTTTAGGAGTAAGGCATCATTGACAGGAATGGTCCCTGTCAGTAAATACACATATCATAAATATGATACATTTTATATATATATACATAAAAACCCTATGGGTCATCATATACATGCATGTGCTATTTCAAACCTCCTGTACAAATATGTGACCCTATGCACTATGGAATCAAGGAGCTAGTGTTGAACAGGGGGAAGTGCTGTGTAGTACACTATACTTAAGGAAAGTGAGGGATAGTCTCTCCATCTCTCAAGTGTACTCAGTGTTTCCCAGACTCCTTTAACTGCTTCTGAAACACAAACAGGAAATCTTATGAAAAAGAGCACATATATTATTAATGGATAAAAGCTAAAACTAAAAGCTAAAATCCTTAATAAGCATCCTTGGTTTCATTGTGGACGATTCATCAATGTCTATTATTTTATTTATCATTAAAGAAAAACGCAATGATAATAAAACATACAATACCATACACAAGTGTGGGGTCGGTAAAATTTCTTGCTTTTTTCTAAAGAAGTCTATTGTGCTCTTATGCTTATTGATCAAAATTACAGTAATACTGTGAAATATTATTAATAAAAAAATAAACCTTTTCTATTTTAATATATTTTAAATTGTAATTTATTCCTGTGATCAAAGCTGAATTTTCAGCATGATTACTCTAGTCTTCAGTGTCACTTGATCCTTCAGAAATCATCTAATATGTTCTAATATACTGACTTAGTGCTCAAAAACAATTCTTCTTATTATCAATGTTGAAAACAGTGCTACTTATTTCTTTGTGAAAATTGTGATAATTTTATTCAGGATATTTTGATTAACAAAGTTCAAAAGAACAACATTTACTTGAAATGTAACTCGTTTGTTACTTTATAAATGTAATTTTTTTTTTATCAAAATAGCCTCTTACTGACCGCAAACTTATTTCTGAAACTTTTTGTGCAGACACGGAAAATGTTATTTAACCAATGGGTTTTACAAACCAAGCCAAAAAAAAAAAGTTCAGCTGATTTCTGAATATTCTGTTTCACTTACAATGTCATATTACAGAAGTCAAATGCATAACTATTGCGGTTTTTGATCATTTCTCCAAGTTTTTCAATATTTAAGCATCTCCAAATTTTGCACTGAAAAACTAACAGAGAAAAGTAAAGCTTGGTGTGTTACTCCTACCAAAATAGCCTTGGTATGTCTTCAGCACTCCGAGGCTATATCGCCCCAGATTTAGAAGAACTCAACCTGGAGAACAACATGAACAACATGTTAATAAAAAAAATAATCAGCATGATAAAGAAGGAAAAATCCATTTGAAGCAAACTGAGAAATCAACTTACGATCCTTCTTCTATTAGTAATGCCAAGAACTTTTTAACTCTGTATTCCGGAGGCATCTAAAAACACAAAACAGAAAAACATCCGAAAAATAGAGATTAAAAAGTGAAATAACAACTTTCTTTTTTTGTTACACCACTGTATGTTCCATGCATGCCCACTTTTCTGGAAAGTTGTAAGCTGTTTAAAAGACAAAAACCTTATCAGCTATGTAAAGCCTGGAGGGTTCGGAGGGACCCTGAATTAGTCAGTGAGGAGTTGTGAAGGGGCGGCAGTGAATGGATGTCGGGAAGAGGAAGTAACAAGACTAGTGATAAAACTAGCAGGTCGGTGTACCCGTTCACCCAGGAGGACAGTAAGACAACCCAGTGCTGATGCCCTTGCAAGTTTATTTTGTTTAGTGATATTTATTACCAAGATGGAACATAAAGATATATATGGAAGCCTGTTTCCGCCACTGAATATAAAAATAAAATAAATAATTGTGACATTATTTCTCAGAATTGCGAGATGGAAAGTCAGAATTGCGTGATATAAAGTTGCAATTGCGAGTTATGAAGTCAGAATTGCGAGATATAAAGTCAGAATTGCGTGATATAAAGTCAGAATTGCGTGATATAAAGTCAGAAATGTATGATATAAAGTCAGAATTTTGAGATATAAAGTCAGAATTGTGTGATATAAAGTCAGAATTGCGAGATATGAAGTCAGAATTGGGTGATATAAAGTTGCAATTCTGAGAAAAAAATGACAGAAGTGCGACTTTTTATCTCACAATTCTGACTTTTTTTCCTCACAATTGCGAGTTTACATCTCACAATTCTGACTTTATATCTCACAATTCTGACTTTATATCACGCAATTCTGACTTTATATCTCACAATTCTGACTTTATATCACGCTATTCTGACTTTGTCTCGCAATCACGACTTTATATCACGCAATTCTGACTTTATATCTCGCAATTCTGACTTTATATCTTGCAATTCTGAGAAATAATGTCAGAATTGTGAGATAAAAAGTCGCAATTACCTTTTACATTTTTCATTCTATGGCGGAAACAAGCTTCCATAGATATATAAATAATGAGTTGATAAAATAAAATAAAATAAAAATCCCAGATAATTTGAATTGTACTGTACCATTAAATTCCTTACGCTCTAATTAAGATTCAACAGGAGATTAATACAGAAATGAATTAAGGAGCTGCATTCTCTGACATGTGTATGAACTAAATTGCAGTGTAAACTTTCCTTTATAGACTAGAATGTGATTTAAGGACAAAGGAAAGCTCTGAGGAGGGAGAAGGCACCGAGGAGAAAAATTAATGAAGGTGTATGCAATAACTTAGCTTTTCAATTGCCTGGGGCTGTTGAAGAAGTGGAAATTACAGAAAGAATAGAGGGAATGGGAGGAAAATGCAGCGCGGCTGTTTGCAGCATGTCCCGGCAGACTCGGTCTCATTCCTCTCTGAGGGGAAGCACTCACGCTGCCACATTACTGCATACCACACCAATTACACAGCATCCAGCCCAAACACCACTGCAACTCCAATTACGCCACCACAAAACAATATAACACTAACAAAGACAGATATAACTCTCATTAAACAAGACTAGCACTAATCTAGAACTAATGGTCTAAATGTACCCAAAAATTAACTTGAAATATTTTCTAAAAATACATGTTTTTTTAGAGCTGTAATAGAGCTCAACAATGACTGGACAGTTTTTCAGTGCCCTTGATTCCAGAGGTTTTCCTCCCAATATTTTCTCCACAGGGATTTCAAAAATGTCTTCAATAAAGAGTTCTAACCAACTTGGTCAGAGATGAATCACATCACAAACATTAAAGTAAAAAAAAAGTGAAATATTATTAGAATTTACAATGGTTTTCTACTTTATATTATATACTAATGTATTTTAAAATGTA